TGACATTTGAAAAAAAATGCGTCATACCACCCATGAGATTGCCTTATTTCAAGGCTTACTTCTGTCTATAAATCATAACAGAACATTGGTTTTAAGTCTACTGCATCCGGGTTTCCATTTGTTATTGGCATTATGTCCAAACACATTCTGAAGGTCCCTGAGTGTAGGCCTTTGGTTAATTCACCGGCAATGTTTTCTATACTTAAAAGCAAAAAAATAACACTTGGAATGTTTGCTATGCTTTGTTGGAACTTAAAGAGAGTATGATATGAAGCTGTCCCAATTAATCACCGCTTTTTGCCAAAAATGGCACCATGCTACAATGCCTGTATTATTAAGGAAACGTGATTTGAATGAGAAATTTTTTAATCAAGCAATTGATCATTTTACATTCATGGAGCTCACGTCTGAGATCCTATTGGTTACATGTAAGGATATATGAACAGTTGTACTTTAATTGGAACCTACCATATCTAAGACAGCATATAAGCACACATAATCTAATGGCATGCACCCAATTGACAAAACTTGTGGTCTCCTCTTCACTGTTCATTACACAAATTAAATTGACCTGGCTGCCGAGTACAGAACCTCGCACTAATTCCTGCATTAAGCTAAATGCAGAGTTTTCTTCTCAGCTCAACCGAATCCTCATTAAGTGAGGCATCCCTATGTGATTAATCACACTACTTCAAAAGCTGCAAATTTCCATGCCATCATTTTACTTCACTTGTGCAGGTTTGACCTTACACTAAAACTGTGTACGGGTTAAATTGTTCATTCCGAGCGCAATTGCATGGAAATGTACATCCATCTCAGGTCGTGAGATATGCGGTATTGTGTAGAGGTGTATCGGTATGTACCTGGCATGGTGTTTAAAGGTCAGCATTGGGTGACAGAGGTGGCTGGGCGTGGTGTTGGCTATCTACCTCCTGGTGTGCCGTACTGACCTTCATAGGTGCTCACAAACAGCACTTGCCTAGTAAGGCTATACAGGGGAGTCTTTGTCAATGTGTGTGCAGGCACGTGTGTTTAAAAAATATATATAATAATAACAATATAGTTTGGGTTATTGTCATTATCAGCCATGTTCAACCCACTGCTGAACAAAGCCCTCCCTAAGTCTTTGTCATATCTAACGATCCTGCAATGAATGTGATGCACTAATCCACTAATCCAAATAGTGCCTGTACATTTTCATCGCTCCATCCCCATGGCTGACATGCTCTTGGGCATTCCCCCCATTTTTACATTGCAGAAACGAATAGAGTTGATTTTGAAAAGACAATGCCAGGTTACATTCATGTATGTATGTTGATCTTCTTTCACACCGTACATAGCCAACTGTGCTAATTGGTTAGCTGCATACATGAGAGAAACTCAATCGCAATCGCACATAACTTGCACCATTTCGACTGGGAAAGCACAGAACGGTAAAAATACATTCAAGCAATAAAAACGCGCTTGATTTGATCAAACATGGATGTGAATCGTACAAAAATATATAATTTGCCTGCACTTTTATCATGTTTTAATCGGCACATTGCTGTGACATCTGTGATGCAGTGAATGTAAAATGCTACCAATAGGTTTCTAATTTTCACAAACGTCATCACAGCTGAGCTGAGGCATTAACTTCCTTTTGAAAATGTTCATTGGATTCCACTTGGGAAAACAATGACAAAACATAAACATATTCTTGGTTCTTTCGGTAAAGTCAATTAGAATGGAAATAAAATAATTATATTATGTTTCATTTTTTTATTTCCATTCTACGTGGCGACTTTACCGAAAGAACCAAGAAGATGAATCCCTGCAGTCACGAAAGCTTTAAATCGAAAAAGATAAACAATCACCATAGACACACTCTTCCAATAATTTTTTTTTCCCGTGTGGGACCTCAAACGTGCTCACACAAACTTGTAATCTTGACACCTTATCTAAATACATCACAGATAAATTACGTGCAGGCAAGTAAAAAAATGTACTTTCACAGGTTCTGCAATTCAAAGCCATATTCATTTAATTATAATATTAACATAATGAGAGGAAATAAATAAGGTAGATCAACTTTCAAATGTCGTCAGTGTTTACAATTATCAGCTTATTGAAAAGGTAAGGTCCCTGGTGGTTAGGCTGCCATGAGGCATGCCTTTTAACAATTTATTTTTGTATTAGTGTTTATTCGGATGGGGTTTGGGTGGGTGTGTGGTGCAGTGTGCTGCTTACACTTGGAAGGTTGGGAGTTCAAATTCCGGTTCGGAGTAGACTCAGCTCTTCACCCCTCCGGGTGAAATCAAATGAGCACCACTTGGTGGGAAGTCAACAGTGGTTGTCCTGTGGAAGATTTTCTCCCCACCATAGGAATGTGGTAATTCTATCACTAGCTCAGGGCAATAAAACAAGACACGTGGTGCACTTCATGAACATTTCCCACTGCAAACGTTTGCAATGCACTGCAAACGTTTGATTTGAAAATCACTTAATTTCGGTCGGCGCAGTATTTGGCTGCATCAAAAGATGAAAAAGCGTGCTAAGAAGCGAGGGGAGATGCAGGCTCACAATTACATTGAGACACTCGAAGGAAGGAGACAAGGTTAAACACATGATTTAAACTTCAGAAAAGTCAACTGGCTTGGGGCAAGAACGTGTCTCTCGAGGGGATAATGGCCGACGGTCGAGAGAAGCGGCAGAGTTGCAGCCAAGGGTTTTCCCCGCATCCGAGACGGTGGCGGACGAGGAGATGGAGTAAAGCAATCAGCTTGCGTGCAGGCGATAGGCGGATTGTTGCATTGCAGAACCATGAGAGATGGCAAACGCCTTGGGGAGGGCCCTTATCCAGCAGTGGAATGAGCACGGCTTATAATGATGATGACGATGGGTACATATCGTACCATAACATCCTGCCTCTCGTGCTTAATGCCTGACCCCTCAACTCTCTTACTCCTTCACACGCTCCCCTTTCCAAGCCTAGGGCACCGTTTCTTCCTGCTTCGGATAGGGATGCACCGTCAATTCAGGGAATGCCATCAATTCAGTCCCTTAACAATACATGTCCATGATAATAAAAGCATAGCACTCCCCCAATCGTTATACAGTAAAACTTTGGATTGCGAGCATAATTCGTTCCGGAAACGTGTTTGTAATCCAAAGCACTCGTATATGAAAGCACTCGTACATCAGTTGTGATCACGTGACGCTCGGCAGTACAAAGCGTACACGTACTACTCATATTGCAAGACCCTCGCTCGTTTATCAAATTTATATTTGTTTAAAATTTTTGCTCGTCTGGCAAAACACTCGCAGACCAAGTTACTCGCAATCCAAGGTTTTACTCTGTATATATAAACAAGCAATCCATTGCCACAGGAAGCCAACAACTTTTTGTATTTAAGGTAATATCATAAAGCTTGTCACACGATGGCTTGTTGTGTCTCATGCCCACTGCTCTGAAACGAGTGATTTTCCCCATGGATAGGCATGTAAATGAGAATTTCATTTCCCCACTGCTCCTGCCAATGTTTAATAAATGAATAAATAAATGAGAGTATAAATAAATTACACTTTCCCTCTGGTCAAGCTCTGTACCCGGAGCTTATGCTAAGTTCCTATCAATCCCTCTCGCTGAAGAGACGACAGATATTGCTGTATCCCCCAACATCTTACATTCGCCGTACAAAAACTGCCCTCTCAAAAAATAAAGTTGCCCGCATTTTATTCCAACACTCCACCGTCAGTCCCATTTGTTCAGCGCTCTATACTTTATCTGGCGAGAGCCCGTTAAAATTAACATTGATTGGCTATTTTTTTCAGCAAAACCCTGGGCAATCAAATGGTATGACAAACGTGTTTGTATGTATTTGTAGTTTGGCAGAAGATTTTTGTGCAAAATTTAGGATTTTTCCAACATCTGCACAGCAATCGCTTGCTCTTGGCAAATATACATCGTCACCATCATCATCAACGATGATTAATCCACTGCTAGATGATGTCCTCCCAAAAAAATCTGTCTTGAACTGCTACCGTGGAACTTTGCCATACCTAACTATGCTAATTAGAAAGGTTCTGCATTCCTAAAACATTAACTTAATATGCAATCAATGTTTTTGTAGTTGTAAAACAGTGTTAATAATGACAGAGATGAAGCAGTTTTAGCTTGTGTTTTTATACCACAGCCTACACGACCCCTTAAATTTAATAAAAAAAATCCATGAGGCAACTGGCATCTCCTAATCTCAACAAAGACGCGGTACTTTAACACCTTAACTACAGCTGGCAGAGGGAGGATGGGGAGAGGAAGCTGCATGGAGAGAGAGAGGAGGAATTATCCTAATGCTCTTTCTTCATTGAGGAAATCTTCAGTGTCACAAGACTCCTTTTTACAACAATTTGGAAATCAACCTAATTCCATTAACATGAGGGAGTAAACCCACAACACCTGAAGACACCTACAAAGCATGTTCAAGGAAACCCATTGCCATATACGTCCATCCCCTGCACCACCTCGCAGCCTAAGCCTGCAACACTCGATACTACTACTGCTGCGCTGGTTTGTGAAAGCTGTGGGCGCATAGCTCGCTGAAGTGTGTCGAGCTCTGACACGTGCCGTCTAGCACGTGTCAACGTCCGACGTTCCGTTCTGCATGCCTTAAGCGAAACCGTCGCACGTCGTTCCGAAGCGACACGTGGTAAAACCCGACCACACGTCAGGGCGCTAAACACCTGGTGTGCTTAGGTGGCCTCCTATCTGGACATCTGTGAACCTACTGAAGTTCAACATGCAAACGTGCATGCGCATGTGAAAAAGAGCTTCAAAGCTCATCGGATTCCTACAATCTCAATAAAGATTCTGATTCAATCACTAACCACTCTCAAGCCTGCTTAGCTTCTTCGCTCCAACTGAGGGTGTTTCCGTGGTCGGCAGCGTACGTGCACGGCGTGACATGCGCGCCGCTCGCTCCCTCGCTCGCTCGCTATTCACTCGCTTGCTCGTTACTCACCGGCCTGGTTGGTGGTGATGTTGACGGCGACCGACTGCGGCGGGTAGGGGCTGCGCTCTGACACGCCGTTCACCGCCTGGATCTCGAACGTGTACGGCGTGTGGGCGAGCAGCCCGCTGATGAAGACGCGCGTCTCCGTGAGGCCCTGCTGCCGCGGCACGAACTCGACGGGCTCCAGGCAGCGGCCGCAGTTGAGGCGCCGCGTGTCCGTGCAGCGGCGGCACACCACGTTGTAGAGGACGTCGTCTCGGCTGCCGAGGTCGCGCGGCAGGGCCCACTCCAGGGTGAGCGACGTCTTGTTCACCACGGCCGTCACGTCCCGCGGAGCGGACGGAGGGCCTGGGATTAGGAGCACGCAGGCACACGGGCAGGATCCGCGGCACTGTGAGGCGGGTGCTCGATTGAATGTCCGTGTGTATATATGTACGTACGGGTGTTGAATTTCGTTTGCTGCGTAAGTAGCCCACCGTGAGTGAGTGAGTGGGTGTATGTATGTGTGTTCAACTTTTTTTCACACCGTATATAGCCGACCGTGCTAATTGACCGTTCAAATATCAATGGCAAGCGTGGAGGCCAAACGCGCTGCTCAATGTCTAGGGAAGTGATTTAGTTAAAACGAATTGATGGGAATAAACCGGACTCGTAATCGGAAAGTTGCGCATTTTAAAACGCCAGTCAGTAAGTATGTGAAAGTGGGTCGCCGATTCATCACGCGCTACAATGTCGATTAATTATTAGGTAAGCTTGGCAACTGCTTATTCTCACAAACCACTGCTAGCTTTACACTTTTACCATGTTTGAAAAACTACCCGTGAATAACTTAATTGATAGAACACAGCAAATATTACCCCCCCCCATCCCCCCACCATCCCCTTCACTACAAAACGACCGCAGAATGTCTGTGAAACACAGCGCGTTCTGAAGTCGATAGAAACTCCAAACAAACTGGTGAATCGACTGGATTGAGGACCCCCCTGCACCCCCCTCCTCACCACCCCCCCCCCCCCCCCCCCCCCCGTTGTGCCAGCCCGGCCACCGCTGGGTGCCTCTTACTCGTGCAGGGTGTCTCCGCGGGGTCCTTGTCTGCCCGGTAGTACCCGTTGCGGCAAACACAGCTCATGGACGCCTCTCCCGGCGTGCGGCTGTTGGCCGGGCATGCCAGGCAGGACCCCAGTCCGGTGCTCGCCTTGAAAGTACCCGAAGGGCACGCTGGAGAGACACCAAGGGAGAATAGTACACTTATAAACGACCGTTCCGAACCCAAGCAGGTGATTTAGCAACCGTATTGGTCAATGTTTGCTGTCTGCCTCCATGCTCCTCAGGAAGATGTAACAATTCGGGGATTTTTTATTCTAAAGCATCTGGGCTTTCATCGTTACAATATACAGCTGTTTGCCAGCGCTTTAGTTCACATTTTGATAAACACAAGTTGCAAGACAGCGTAGGTTGGCACACAAACAAAGATCCCCCATATAGCCTTAACAGACCGTAGGGGCAAGTGCTGTTAGCGAGCACCTATGAAGGCCGAAACGGTAAACGAGGGGGTGGGTGGCCAGCACCACGCCCGACCGCCTTTGTCTCCCCAGTGGCGATGTTTACACACCGCACCAGGTACTCATTTGAGGCTGAGTCGACCAAGGGGAGGCCCAGGACCAGTTCAGATAATCGTCACTGGTGTTGGCCGTGAGCGGGAATCGAACCCGGGTCGCCAGGTTCGTAGCGCAGCGCGTTAACCGCTACACTACCGCACACAGACACATATGCACGCGCGTCAAGACTACTTCTCACACGTAAGTTGTATACGCCGCGGGGTGATCTTCTAGATTTATGGCTTATAAGGTCATGATGCTACATTTGGGGATGGCAGTGTGGCCTTGGCATCATGCCCAGCCACCTTTGTCTCCCAGGTGCTGATGCTAACTCATTACACACTACATACTCATTATAGACTGAGGCACTTTATGGGAGCCCCAAACTAAGTTCAAATACTGACTGCACCTGATGATTTACGTGCCAAGGAGTGAATGAAGCCTTGGCTACTCAGACTGTGGAGTGGAGTCGTGGCATAGTTGTTCGCACACCGGGCCCAGTGATTTTAATGATATCTGGCTCGGCCTTGGACCCTCCATTCCCTTCAGCAACCCACCCTTACCTAAACAATGTGAAGTCTTTTTTTAAATGGACCCCATAACCTGCAGAGGCATTTCGCCAACAGTGGACTGACAAAATGGTTATGAATACAGGTGTGCCCCTATATACGTTGCTTCAGTTTACGATGATCCCTTATTATGTTCGTCATGAATTAGTGCGTTTTTTTTTCAGTTAATGTCTGCTTTGTTTCGGTATTCTGTTTTTTTTTCTCTCAATGACATTTTTTTTCAGTGAATAAAAAGAATACAAATATGAATAGTAAACAGCCTCATGTTGTCGTTTGTCCGTGAGCGCCTTTTATATTGTTCCAGGGCGTTCTCCTTGCCGACCACCATTCACAGCCTCACCACTCGTTTACAGGCCCAGGCCTCTTAGTTCAAAATACGGTTTGCTCTCGATCAATCCCATCGATCTTTATTTTACGTGCCGATATCGCCCTCAATAAAGTAGGCATCGGTGCCACATTACAGCGGTGACGGGGGTGGGGGGGCCACAACAGCAACAGAAATGGAAAAAAAGTAACCCGTCAATGCGATCAGCGGCTAAAACCGACGGAGCAAAATTAAATTGCAAGCGCGCGTAAAATAAAAGTGCAAATAAATCTCTACCGCTCTTTGGACTGTCCTGCATGTACTCCTTTGGGCTGTCCTGTATGCACTCCACAAGAGGAGGGAGGCAGATGCTCCAACTGCCTCTGCCTCCCAATCACCCCTCCACTCCTCAACACCTCGTCGCAGTATCACATCAAGCGACGTGCAACGCAGTTTATGGTTCGTAAATTAGTGTGCAGTTTTTATTTTACTTTAATTATCCACCGAGTTATTCTTATCCACATTTCCGCATGAAAATATACCGGTTGTCGTAAGGTTTTTCTTTCAGATATTTGTTTGTTACTCTTAGAAGCGCATCTAAGAGGCGTTATATAATGGTACCTCATGGGAAGATTCGGTTACAATGTGCGATTTTTCACTGTACGTTCATGTTTTCAAGAAAAAAAAACTCAAACGTGCATCGAGGTATGCCCAAAGTGTGCAATCAACTGTCATATCACTACCGAAGACAAAGATCCCCCGTATAGCCTCAGCAGACTGTTGCGGCAAGTGCTGTTAGCAAGCACCTATGAAGGCCGGCACGGCACATGAGGTGGTGTGGTGGGTGGCCAGAACCACGCCCGGCCGCCTTTGTCTCCCCAGTGGCGATGTTTACACATCACACCAGGTACTCATTTGAGGCTGAGTCGACCCTAGGGGAGGCCCAGGACCGATTTGAATAATCATCACTAGCGTTGGCCATGAGCGGGAATCGAACTCGGGTCACCGGCTTCATAGTGCAGACTAGCGCACTAACCGTTGTGCCACCACTCCCCACAATCACTACCAACCACATAGTCACACGCAACCTATTTGCATCAGATATGAGGGTAGCGCTCAAGCTGCACATTTCACCCTTGCTTTCACATCAGTCAAAATAATAAGTATTGAATATTCGCTGCATGTATAATGGGAATGTTTAATTTTATTCAGCACTGACATTAATGATGCTTCATTACTTTTCCAAATGTTTAAACCTTACTAATAGTAGTATTTTTTTTACATATTAAAGCCTTTATGAAAATTTCATATTTATGTTGTAGCTAAAATAACACGTTTCATATTTTATTCAGGGAATTAACCACAATGCAGCACATTTCCCGCATTAACAAACGAAACGTTCAATTTCGTTCGTTTCCCATCACACTTAATTTAACTTTCCCCACTTTTATTTGAAACATGGATACATAAATGAGCACTTTTCCAACTACACTTTCATTATTAATAGGTTTTTACCCTTTTATCTGGCACCAAAACTGACACCTTTATACAAGGGATCATGTTTGCAATAACTACAACACATGCAGTCAAAATGCAAACTAAAAGAGACAACTCTGATAATGATATGCACTGTCCCTGAAATTGATTAGTCCACACCCGAGAGAGGCTCGAGAAAAGCTGTCTCGGGTGTGGACCAATCAATTTCAGGGACAGTGCATATCATTATCAGAGTTGTCTCTTTTTGTTTGCATTTTGACTGCTTGTGTTGTGGTTATTGCAAACATGATCCATTGTATAAAGGTGTCAGTTTTGGTGCCAGATAAAAGGGTAAAAACCTATTACTATATCTTGCTACTGGCAAAGGAGGTCTCATAATGTACACTTTCATTAATTGGACATCCAAAAATGCACTGCGCCTTTCCAATGAAAGGGCCATATTTGCAAGAGCGTTCACATTTCAATCACGTTAAAGCACAATACGAACATATACTTTGCACCTGGTAAGCCTTGCAAAGTGACCGAATGAAAGCCATTGAAAGATTGAGTGGCTGGAAAAAAATATATAGTTATAATGTTATTTCATTTCCTCATGGTGCTCAATTCCTGGAACCATGAGCACATTAATTATTTCACCAAATCCCCAGACAATGCATCAATATTTATAAGAAGTGTACTGCTCTAGTGCTGTTCTAAATTAATATTGATTTGCACTCTCTAACCTTCATATAATAACACACCACAGCAGACTCAACATGTAATCTAGACTTATCTTAAAATACATCTTTTTTTTTCCTCTCTCTCCAAAAAAGCCAAATTAAGGAAAAACATTATTTCAAATGTTGGTGAACAGTGCAGGAAATATAATTCTGATTACATTTTGTGGTTCAGTTACATATATTAAATTAAATACACCGGATAATACAAGTGTATGCATGAGTGTGTATGTGTGACAAAGTGAATCTTTCTGAAAATCAATGTGGAAACTAAAGCCATACATGCACACACGTACATTGTCAATAAACAACTGCCTGAGCACATGCTATATCAGTAGGCATGGTGCCAGTAAGCATCTTTAACGTGAACCATCCCATTTGTAATGCTACGTAACCAAAGCTAGACGCACCACCAGCACAGCAGAAACAAAGAATTGCATTCTAAAAATATATATATAAAAATACCAAAACATGAAATCACGTAAAAAGATATCCATACACCCTTTAACAAGCTGTTGTTTCAGAGAAACAGCACACTCGTGGTTAGTATAGCCATCACCAAGCCCAACCACCTTCACCTTCCCAGTGCTAAAGTTCTCAGGCTGCACGAGGGACATACACACAGATCGCGGACCTGAAATTGCTGAAAAACTGGGTTTTCATCCAGGTTTCAGCTGCCCAGCCATGATAAAATGGGAGCTTAACAAGTGATGGTCTTAGCCCGCTCTCCAAGTAATTCACAAAAACCCATTCTTATTAAGTTTGATATTTAAATTGATCGGGCAAAATTATAGTTATTGTAATTTAAAATGTTGGAGCGACTGCCATGCGACAAACATTTCCATCTCTATTGCATTGCGTGGGAAAGTACGACCTTCCTTTCGAAATGAAACAAGGTTACTTGAATAGATCTAAAAAAAATGGCCTATTAAAATCTGCTTCTTTTGGTCATTCCCTTACACGCGTGGCTGCGGCGGTCTAGAAGACTGGATTAAATACACAATCGCCGAATGGACGAAAACATATTAGCACCAAGTCTCATGACATGATACCGATAGCATGATTGGAATAAAATTAAGAAAAAAACAAAATATGTGCGTTTTTTTATTATCATAGTTGGAGTGGGATCATAGGCTCAATGGGCTTTAAACATCGGGAAAGACACCCCCTCATGCTCACACGCTCCTCGGCAGGATAGCGATAGCGTGGGCCACCTGTAAAGACATTTGCAGCGCGTTGGACAATCACGCCTCGGCTTTCATGCGGCTCTCTCCACTGAATTGACCCTCTCGCACGTCACCAGGGTCGCAGATCTCTCCCTCTCGCTCACTCTCCACCGATCGATCGCCAATCAAGCAGCCACTTAGTCTGGTATTACCCTGTTCACGGGCCAAAGGTCTCTTGGCGAATTTTAAGTAGGCTCGTGTCGATGGGAAACGCTGGGTTCTCACGTGGAGAATCGCTTTTTGCCATCAATTGTATTCTCAATAGTGCCAGGCACAATTTAAGGAAGCCCTTGACTTTACCCAAACAC